ACAGTTGAACAATGTCGATCGACCCAGTGATAGAGTAACCTGTCTATTTCAAATAAAAACTAAAGAGATTTATATTCAACATGAACTGTTGTACTTAGGTACAATGTTCTACGTTGCATCTGACCGACTGATATATATATATATATACATATATATATATATATATATATATATATATATATATATATATATATAACACCACAAAAGCCGAGCGGCTATACTACATCCAATTAACTGATGTGACAGAATCATGTTGTTCTTACACGAATGGCACGAAATACTTGATTGGAGGGATTTACCGAACTACCTCAGGTACTAAGACCCAGAAAGTCAATCTGACTTAGGCAATTCTGTGACTGCTACTCCTTGGGTTTGATCAAATACTCTTAGCTGGAGATTTCCATACCCTGTCTCTAAATATCAGCCATCAGTGTACAACTCCTACTGGCTGGTTCGAAAGACCATTCGGCACAGATATTAGGAGCTTTGGGCTTATTGAACACGTCTGCAGTGCCACTAGATAATAATAATAATAACAAACATGTTACAAGAGACATGCCAATTTACAGGCAAGATCAAAATGTTAAGATTAGCAACATATTTCTTTTAAAACGGTATACAGTTACTGAAACATTTCACGAGATACATTGGATTCCTAAAGACGGAATCTACAATGCGAATAATTGGCGCAAGTTACGAAGGTTGCGTTACGACAATCATCTTATGGACTGAGAAGCGATTCGTGGTAGAGATAGGTTTTCATAAATCAAGAATTGATGCGGTAAATGTACAAAGGTCTGGTTGATATTCATCAGCTAATGATTTCACATGTTCTTGGGTAGGATAACCAAGTCTACTGCAAATATCCAGACTAATATATGAGGATTGGAATAAGGTTCTGAAAAAAGAGAAATAAAGAAAACGGGACGAGGAGCGGAACAGCAAATATTCTTGTTCAAAGCCGAACAACGGCTTCGCACATACATTTATGGATAAAACAAAGGTATGTTTACTCAGAATTTTTTAATATCAGAACAATAACGGTACACCTGCACTTATGTAGGTTAATGAAGACAATTCAGTAGTGAGATAACTAATGGGAAGTTAGTCGGATGAATAGAGGAAATTCAGAAGAACCAAGTTGTTAGTAATAATGTTGATATACAAAATATAATAAAGAGGCTCAGTGATATAATTTTTGTATTTTATTTATTCTTTTTATTTTTAACTCTGCGGCTCAAGAAGTTATGAATGAGCTCTTTTTTAGTATAGTTGCCCAGACCAGCTTGTAATAGGATTTCTCGGTAGGAAATAAAAACCAGTTCAAGGTTACAGACATGAGTTGTAGATGGAATATGGAAGGAAAGTCCTCAAATCTGGATCATCTGATAGCGAATGATCATCTCCTGGTCAAGGATGTTCAAGTCCTTACACCAATAGAAAGTAGTGATCATGGCACAGCCTCGTTTAACATGCTATTGAACGAAAAGCTCACACAAAACGAAAACTATCTCTATCTTTGCTACACCAGGGCGAATTATACGCTTATGAGGGAGATCCTTCTACATGTCCCATGGTCACGGGAGTGTTGGAAGCTGACAGTAGATGATCACTGGCTATCGTAGGCAATATACCTCAGTCACACCACACATCTGGGAATAGAAAAACTTGGGTGAGGCGCGGCACTGAACATTTGCTGCAGGCGAGGAGAAGATCCTGGCGCGAATGGAAGGATTTCGGTCGCAGTTATTACTTGGCAATAAGAACCAGATGCAATACTAAAGTGATAGGAGACGATTTCAGATGAAGCTAGCTGCCAAAATACAGGCAAACCCGAAGCATCTGTTTAGGTTCATGACTAAAAGAAAACCTACGAAGCAGCGGTTGTGTTATCTCAAAGGTCCGTATGGTGAAAACCTCACCAACCTAAAGATGGTTGAGATCTTCAACACAAACTTTATCGATCAGTTAAGTCATGCATCCACATGTTCAGAATACTACACAAGCCTGGGACCAGCTGACGCCTTAGGGAATATCCGTACCACTCGTAACTTAGTACTAAGGAAACTAAAATCCTTGCGCCCAGGAAAGTTACCAGGCTGTGACAATATTCGCCCCATAGTCTTGAAATAATGTTCAACAGTCCACTGTTCACCGATATGGATTCACACAAACTCCCAGCTGAATGGAACCAAGCTACTCTCTCTTCAGTCTTCAAAGGAAGAGGTGGGAAGGACCCAGCCATTTACAGAACAGTCGCACTACTACCAATACTATCAGAGGAAGTGCAATGGCTGGTGAACGAACAAATGAGGTGGTACATGGCTAAAAAGAAAAATACTCCATGAAGCTCAACACGGGTTTCGGAAAGACAGATCGTGTGCATCTAATCTTCTCATAGCATTGGACAGTTGAACATCTTGCTTGAACCGAAAAATACCGGTGGACTTAATATTTCTCGACTTTGCAAAAGCCTATGACACAGCGCCCCACGCAAGCCTAATCGCGAAGGTTGCGGACATAAGCTTCACAGACCCATTCGTATACTGACTTAGAAACTAACCTGAGAATAGAAAGTTTCCTACCTTGGTAAATGGAGTAAACGCGAGCTGGTGAGCATCCACATCGGCAGTTTCACAGGAGACCAACTTAGGTGCACTTCTCTTCCTGATATTTATTAACGGCCTGTTAGCCTCAGTTAGCTCACCGGCACTGATCTGAGCAGACAATGCGAAGATCGTAGGTTCATTAGAAGTGAATAGAATTCGGTTGAGCTTCAAAAGGACATGACATCTATTGAGGAATGGGCAGTGAAAAACGGTTTAAAACTAAACCAGCCGAGGTGTCACGTCATGTATACTCCGCCCCACATGACACAAACGATTTAAACTCTCAAACAAGTCCGCTCCCTAACGTCTCCTCAGAGCGCGATCTGGATTTAATAATCACAGAAAGCCTGCACACGAGGCCAAACTATATAGGGGACGCAGCCAAGGCAAATGCGACTCTTCACTTTATGCGAAGACAACTTGGTCTTATAACCCCACAGTTATTCTTAACGTTATTTAAGACCTACGTGCGCCCATACCTGGAGGTTCACAACGTCATCACAGCCCCTCTGCTCAAAAGAGACATAAATCTCTTGGATCGAGTTCACAGACGAGCAACGATATGGGTGATAGTGCGGAAAGATAACTCTTACGAAGACAGACTCCAGCACTTGGGATTATTCCCCCTGATTCACGGGAGGATCAGAGGTGATCTGATTGTGGTGTACAACATATTAAACACGCCAAACCATCCCAACGTGAGCATCTTACCGATGCCTCACCACCACGCCCCTACAGGTTATCGTCGAAAGATTGCACATCAAAGAGCGAATACTCAGGTTCGTGCACACTTCTCTTTGACAGTCGGAATGCTCTCCCAGCCGAGGTGACCACAGCCCCCTCAGTAGACAGCTTTAAGAAGAGACTTGATAATCACGTGCTCACATAAGGATTTTCATCTCCCTCTTGGACAAGCTGTTACTGATGCCATCTTCTCAAAACACTTAGTTGATCTATCTCGCCTACTATCTCTGTTTTCTATCCCTTGCTTACACTTTGGTCCTCTCTCACAATCTTCAGTGCCAATTAATAAACTAAATTATCTACTAATTTACTTAGTTCTTAAATCTTATTCATATTACCATCAGAATTTCCTCCTCATTATTCTCCACATTGCAACTAACTGATCTCCGGTCTGGTAATGTGGTAGCTGCTGGTATCTAGAAATCCTGCTGCCCTGAAACAAACGTTTTCATTTAAATCCCGAGACAGACAAACTCACAACCAACTGCCAACTGACTAGAAATAGACAATCGAGTGGGTAAACCCCCGCTCATTGGACACTACCGAACACCTGGAACCGTACCGAAAGGACAAGAATGGAACGCAAAAAAATCAATTGGTTTATGCTATTTAGTGAAAAGGATATTGGCTACTTGAAGCACCAATTAAAAATCTGAAACACGAATAACTTGGACTTATTTCACAATACGGCTACCAAAATTCCTATTCATCAAGTTAAATGAACCGTGTCAGCCAAATTAGGAAAAGATTTTTGTGTCGGTGTTGTTGTATACCAGTGTTGAAACTTTGTACAGTTACCAAATCCGCCAATTCTTCTGGAAGAAATGTAAGTCAGAGAAGAGTAACAGGGAATTTTTAATATGTTCATAACTTACTATTAAGAAATATGTTTGAGGGACCTTTCCATTTTAATAGGAAGAAAACACGAAAGATAACTGTCCTAGTTAGAAAATTTTAGAAAACGGAATCATTTGTTTCTACTAACTCGGTTAGCTCTTTTGCGGCTTGTTCAAAAGTGTTCGTCACAGCTGACGTCCTTTCTATTCACTTATAGTTTACAACACGGCTGCAAGGTCTTATTCTAGTAATAAGACAATAAATCAAACAGGCGAAACACGGGATTTATTAGTTTTATCTGTGAATTTTTCATGAATAATTTTTACAAAACCTTATCAAATAATGACAGCTCAGCCAGAATCATTTAAATTTAGTCCTCAATGGATTAAGGAATTACCAGATGATGCGTTTAACCCCAGGAGACATTCAAGTCATAGTCCAACTGAAGACCGTGCTTCTAGCAAATCCCCAAATTCATTTCCGAATTTCATCCAAAAATATAATCGTTTTGATTCTTCAAATTCTGCACCTGCCGACAAGCGGAAAGGTTTACTGTTAAATTTACTTACTGTTTCATCATTAGATATGGTTTCAGGCAAAGCTTTCCATTCTTTCTGGCCAGACGATACCATGTATGCACCATCTGAAGTGGAAACGAACAGGCACGTTTCTGTAGTAAACGTAATATATTTATGTCATTTAACATGAAAAAAAATTTGGGCTTGAGGTTAGTGAGGAAAGCTTTTGAATATCTACAGATTTAACTCGATCTGTCGTATGATCAATACTGCATACCCAGAAATCCGACTTGAACACCACTTGCTTTGTATCGTTTGACACACAAATCCTAATACGTCACTTTTCGTTCCCGATGAGGCTTTGAATATCCTATTATATCCACCAATTTTTATTCTTAGAAGCTATAGGTGATTCGCACCTGGTGGTTTTTCTCGCCAGTATTTGTTTGACATTAAATGAATATATGGTCAATTAGTCTGCTTTTCACTGATCTCAAAGCTTTTTATTTTATCAGTCTTTTTTTATCTGAGTTGAACTTAAGCGAGTAGCTTTAAAACCTTCCAGCCTTATTTTAGTAATCCATTCTCAATAAAACTGTTCATTGACCTCTGTAGCTGTCATACATCTGATGCCAGGTGTCATTTCATGTATTATTCATTGATTCTAACAATGCAACACCGAAAATATAAGACATTATAAGCGAAATGATATTATTGTTAAGTAGTAGAGATCTAGATGATAATATTACATGATGATAGGCACTGTCCAGTTTAAATTACGACGACAAAAATTTTTAAGGAATCACTTATGGTGGGCGCATTTTTCTTCAGGACCTAATATCTCGTCGATTGATTCAATTCTCTCGCATTTGTAACTTACGTCAGACTTGGTCGCAGTTCAGATCACGTACCAATTCATTTTCTTTTAACTACTAAGCCTGCTATTTATTAGTCTCCATTTTCGTATTCGATCATATCAGGATTGTTTTGTGTGTTGTTTCCCATAATCATACATGTTATATTGTTGGTTAGTGCAATCTTTCCTCTACCTTTATAAAGTGTAGTAATATGGACCCGCATTCATTTAATCTAAATTTAACCTCAATCAATGTTCGCAAATATATATATTATTTTTTGACCTGTTTTACAGTCAGGGACAATCTTCCAGAGAGGTAACCAAACAGTATCCACTCAGCGTACAGTTTTCCGACTCCATATATGTCCAGAAACCCAATGCTAATCAAGTCAACAATCCTGCTAGTCATTGTGTTGACACCAACAAACAAGCAATGCACTGGATCCAGAAGTCCTCTTTGACTTCTTCTGAACAGCGTTGGCAACTTCACTCAGACTCAGTCATCGAATTGTCCGTAAGTGTGCAGTGGTCTCTTTGAGTTTTGTGTGTTTCTCGATTGGCTCATTCTTCGAACAGTTTAAGAAATCATAAGGTTATGATTTCTGGCTTCATACACTGTTAATTGTTCAGAAATGTTCCCACTTAGCATTCTCAGTTATTAACTACCCGTCGTGATATTTCTCACTCGTAAATTTTTTCAGTCAGGACTTCATTCTCATGAGGTTTAAACCCAAAATTCGAACGCCCTAATCACTGAGTTCTTACGCGTCGCCCCATCTCTTCTGTTGGTAATTACAGTCTATTTTCCGGACGAAATAATCACTCATAACAAGATGATTAAACGATTACTATACAGAATCATTTCAAGTTGTTTCCATCTAAAGTTCATTTTTTAGGGAGCTACAATCAGTAGTATGTGTTTAATATTGTCTTTGTAAGTAATTTATTTGATTTTGGTCTTCTAGGCTCGTTTTAAAAGGTTTTAAAAGTAAAGGTATATGCATATTCTCATCTGCTTGTCAGTAATATGAAGTTGTATTTTGATTGATCAGTTTGAAAAATAACTAATTACAGTGTTGCCAAAGGAAAATTAGTTCATCTACTTCCAAAGTAGTCCATGGTTAGGAATATCTTAGTGGTCTTATAAAGGCCGAAAGCATGTGTAAATTTCTAGTTTTTGTTTCTTTCTAAGTAAATTTTTTTTTTCAGGCCAAAGTACCAGATACAATTAGCATGAGTGCAGCAGGCCTTTCTTTACCTTCATCAAGCACTCGATCTCATGAAGTGCAGCATGTAGGGGGTTCTCTCTTATCAGGAAACTCGTCGGTTGTAAGCAACGCAACGGTGAATATAAATTCCATCTTGCCTGATGGTGTTGTCTCGGCTCCCCGGTCAGATTCGCATAGTCAAATTAATACTGATTCACTTAGTAATCAGAGTAAACGAGCTGTCAGTGCTTATTATGGAATCAAGGATCCAGACAAGGTATCAGTTTTGCGATTTTTCGATTACTTTTAGTTAAATTCAAACAATTTCATCCTAATAAAAACAGCTTTTAGACAAACTAAGTTAATCTCACGTGTTACGGTTGAGGTCTCAACATCGTACGACAAAATTGGGACACTATAAATCATTTCTAGATGTGCAAATCAAAGCAGTTAACACTGATGCTAGTTGGTCCACGAAGATAACTTGGTTTTCGTGTCAGCCGAATGCTCATTGTATTAATATTGCAAGCGTATAATCCATTTATCAAACAAGATACTGTATACTAAAATTTAGTTAGAGACTTTCGTATTTGTTTTAAATAGGACTTCAGAGAAAAGAAATCTCATAAAAAAGATACGAGATTCATTGTCAAAATTTATTCTTACTTAGCAATAATGAAAAAAGGTAGTTTGTTAACAAATCCAATTGGTAATATTTTAATTTTCATGGTTATGAAACTGTCGTCAAAGCAGCGTAAACTTTTTCCTCGTAATTATACTAGTATTTGTTTTTTCTTCGTTGGGGTTATCCTTAAAACCACCCTTATTATTATCGTTTAAGATCGTTACAGTAGCTCTACAACAAACCATTATCAGTTTTCCAAGTTAATACTATTAGTAATTTGTTTATCATGAAGTGTTATCCATTCAGTTCTAAGCTACACCTTCTATGCGGTGGCTGATGGGTGATATAGAGCTTGGAACTGCAACCTCTGTGGTTGAAAGCCAAGTACTTTAACCACGAAAATGCTACCAGGGTTATGTAAATACTATATTAACTACTGTGTTTACTCACTTGGTTTCCTTTCCTTGAGAAAAGAAAGTTCTAAAAGTCAGGCTTTTCTAGTGACTCAGTTGAAATATATATTGATTGTTTAATGTACCTACTTTATTTAAATTCCTTCACGCACTAGTAGTCTTTCTTCAGCCCTATTACTACAAGTGCAAATATGTCTTTAACAAATTCAATCGTTCTATCATATTTCAGTTCATATTTTCAGTCAACATTTTCATGATACTCTTACTCTAGAATAATTTTTGATTTTCTTTCTGTATTATTGTGACTAATTTGTCTCAACAAATTGTGTTATAGAATTTAGATTCCAGTATCAATTCAAACGCAATATGGATGCAGCAGCATATATGGTCAAAGTCTGTTCCACAACACTTACATGGTTTTCACCCCACTGATTCTACATCCAATTCTGTATCCAATTTCTGTGGGGTCACCTCTGCAGAAACTAATAGACATTCTAGCTTCAGCGTTCCCAACGCCGACAACATACATAATTTTCTCTCACAGTTACCTGCATTTGACCGACTTGTGCAGTCGAATTCAAGTCATGCTTATCCGTTGGTAAGGAAGTTCATAAACACTGATAAGATTAACTTTTGCTTTTCCGCACACTTTGCAAGTTCTCCGTCAAGTTGTTGATCGCCTAATGTCAGAGAACATTTCACATTTTAGCGTGGATATTTGTAATCACTTTTTGTTCACGTGTATAGAAACTACTTCGGTTGGTAAATGTATCATGTAGTATGCCAACTTGCGTCACTTATGGCGTGAGATATCCATTCGTAAAACTTAGGACGGGTTAATTACACAGCGATTCACCCCGTCCTACGGTGTGAGTGTGAAGTTTGGACGCTAAGAATAGAAGCTATTCGTAGGTAACCAGCATTTCATCATGGGTATTTGCAAAGCATTTCTCGTGTAATCTAAGACCACCAAGTGAGAAACGGCTGAGTTAATACCAGTACTTTCATGAGATGATAAATTGTCATCAGCTGAGGTGGTTGGGTCATGTGTTCGTATGCCCAGTCACCGCCTACCTCGACGGTGTTGTTTGGTTTAGCAGTAGGTCGAGAGAAAGCCAGAGGTAGCCAAACCAAAATATGGCATCGGTCCATGGACTAAGCCATATTACTAAGTGTAAACTGCTCGATTTGGGTCCACTGGCTTATCATGATCACTGATTGTAGACTTTGAATGACAAATCTCAAAATCGTTTGGAACAGGTCAAGTACATCCAGTATTTGTTATCTGAAAAATTATAGACTTGTGAATTCCTCGTAATCTTTTTTAATTCCATTAGTTTATATTTTCGATCCCTAATCTTTTTTGTTATCACCGATACTGTTACTAACTAACTCACTAAGAAATCGCTAACCAGAAAACATAATTCAAACCATTTTAACTCTGCCCTGGGAGTTGGAAGAAGATTTATGACGTCTCGTGATGAAAGCCGAGTTCCCTCGGAAGTCACGGGGCCGATGCCTCTTCTGACAACCAGAGCAACCATTTTTTAGGTACATGGAACGTTCGTACATTGTGGGAAACTGGAAGACTATTTCAAGTTGCGGCAGAAATGAAAACATACAACCTCGAGGCGCTCAGCATCAGTGAAACGCATTGAACACAAGTAGGACAACTGAGACTTGGTTCAGGGGAACTGCTGTTATACTCTGGTCATGAAGAGGAAAATGCCTCACATACACAAGGAGTTGCACTGATGCTGTCCAAACATGCACAAAAGGCACTGACAGGATGGGAATCTCATGGACCCAGGATCATTAAAGCATCCTTCAAAACAAACAAAGAGAACATTGCAATGAACGTCATCCAATGTTATGCACCTACCAATGACTACAATGACGACGTGAAAGATCAATTCTACGAAAGGCTGCAGTCAATCGTCGAGAAATGTTCATCAAAGGATTTGACGATTCTTATGGGAGACCTGAATGCCAAGGTTGGCATGGACAACACTGGATATGAAGACATCATAGGACGACATGGACTGGGAGAAAGGAACGAAAATGGTGAGAGATTTGCAAACCTATGTGCCTTCAACAAACTGGTCATCGGTGGCACAATATTCCCACACGAAACGCATACACAAAGCTACATGGATTTCACTGGATCACACTACTCGGAACCAAATCGACTCTATCTGTATCAACAAAAAGTTCAGAAGGACCATGGAGGATGTGAGAACCAAGAGAGGAGCTGATATGGCTTCAGATCAACATTTGCTGGTCGCCAAAATGAAACTGAAACTCAAGGAACACTGGACAACGTGGCAGACAACATCACAAAAGTTTAATACGGCCTTTCTTCGGGATACTGGAAAGCTCAATGAATTTAATAGAGCTCTAAGCAATAGGTTCCAGGCCTTGCACGATCTGCTCAATCGAGAAGAAACAACCATGGCGATCAATTGGGCGGGGATCAAGGAGACAATCACTTCAACATATCAGGAGGTTATGAGCCACAAGAAGTACCATCACAAGAAATGGATCTCCGTTGGTACTGTTGAAAAAAATGAAGAAAGGCGGAACAAGAAGGCAACAATCAACATCAGCCGAACAAGAGCAGAGAGAGTCAAGGCACAAGCTGAATACGCAGAAGCAAACAAGGAAGGAAAGAAGAGCATCAGAGCTGACAAACGAAAATATGTAGAAGTTCTAGCAATGACGGGGGAAAAGGCTGCAAGAGAAGGAAACATGAGACAATTGTATGAAACAACAAAGAAGCTCGCCGACAACTATCGTAAGCCAGAACGACCAGTGAAAAGCAAGGAAGGCATTGTAATCAGCAACACTGAAGAACAGCGAAACTAGTGGGTAGAGCACTTTAAAGAACTCTTAAATCGACCAGCTCCACTGAACCCACAACATCGAAGCAGCATCCACGGACCTCCCAATCGATGTTGGCGCACCTACAATTGAAGAGATCAGCATGGCCATTAGAAACATCAAGAGCGGCCAAGCAGTAGGACCAGACAACATTCCAGCAGAGGCAATAAAAGCAGGCGTGGAAGCAACTGCAAATATATTTCACATTCACCTCAAGAAGATTTGGGATGAGGAACAAGTACCATCAGTTTGGAAAGAAGGATACCTGATCAAAATACCAAATAAAGGCGATCTCAGCTAGTGTGAGAACTACAGAGGCATCATTCTTCTCTCAGTGCCAGGCAAAGCCTTCGACGGGATAGTGTCAAACGGAATGAAGGACTCCGTATAGGTCCAACTTCGAACTCAACAGGCTGGATTTCGTAAGGATCGATCGCGTACAGACCGAATTGCTACATTACGGATCATTGTGGAACAATCATTTGAATGGAACTCAACACTCTACATCGACTTCATTCATTGACAGGGCACTATGGTGTCTCTGAGAAGATGGTCAACGTCATGCAGATTTCTTATGATGCGCTAAACTGCAAAATCGTGCACGGAGAACAGCTAACAGACTCTTCCGAGGTGAAGGCCGGTGTCAGGCAAGGTTGCTTACTCTCACCCTTTCTCTTCCTCCTGGTCATCGACTGGATTATGAAGACGTCGACATCTGGAGGGAAGCACGGTGTTCAGTGGACAGCTAGGACGCAGCTGGACGGTCTGGACTTCGCAGATGATCTGGCCCTTCTATCGCACACGCAACAACAAATGCAAGAGAAGACGATCAGTGTAGCAGCAGCATCTGCAGTAGTAGGTCTCAACATACATAATGGAAAAAGGGAAAAGTAAAATTCTACGATAAAACACAACATGCACCAAACAAATCACTCTTGATGGAGATGCTTTCGAGGACGTTAACAACTTTACATATCTGGGCAGCATCATCGACGAGAAAGGTGGATCCGATGCAGATGTGAGGGCGCGGATTGGCATAGCAAGGGCTGCATTTCTACAGTTGAAAAACATCTGGAACTCCAAACAACTATCAATCAACACCAAAATCAGGATTTTCAGTACAAATGTCAAGACAGTTCTCCTGTATGGGGCGGAAACTTGGAGTACTACCAAAGCCATCTTCCAGAAGATACAAGCATTCCTTAATAGTTGTCTGCGCAAAATACTTCGAATGCGTTGACCAAACACAATGAGCAACAACTTAGTGTGGGAGAGAACAAGTCAGATTCCAGTGGAGGAGGAAATCAGAAAGAAGCGGTGGAAGTGGATAAAATACACTCCAGATAGCACTCGACTGAGTGACAAGACAAGCCCTCACTTGTAACCCTCAAAGTAAAAGGAAAAGAGGAAGGCCAAGGAACACATTACTCTGAGAAATAGAGAAAGACATGAGAAGAATGAACAAAAATTAGACAGATCTGGAAAGGGAAGCACAGGACATAGTGGGTTGGAGAGTACTTGTCGGTGACCTATGCTCCATTGGTGGTCACAAGCGTAAGTAAGTAAAAAACTGCTACTATTCTGTGATTTAGCTTGACAATTTCATCTTTCCATGCTAATGGGAAATGGAAACTTAAACCGAAGTACATTCGTATTAATTTACAAGTTGTTACTTATTGACTAGTAAGCTGTTAGTTGTCGAAATGCACATGCATCTGGGTGGCAGTGTCAGTCAGTCAGATGCAACGTAGAACTTCGTACGTAAGTACATCAGTTCATGTCGCCATACCACATCAGCACAGAGAAGTAATTGTCAATTCTAATCCAATAGTAGTAGAGGTAGTAAGGGAATCAGAAGTAATCGGAGAGGTTAGGATTAGAAGATACTATTCAAGAAGTATGATTCAACGAGAAAAGTTTAGAAAGTCAAAACTAGAGGTGTTGAAGAATCCAGAAGATTAGGATTTGAGAGAACACAAAGAATAAATGCACCGGCGCCATTGCGAACGATTTTGAGCCATGTCATTCAAGGTCTCTAACCATCGATTATTATCATCTCGCGGACCCCAACCAGGTAGTCGACAATTACCGACATGGCTAAGTCCACTCGTCAATGACTTCATGGATTTGTGCCATGTTTTGGTCTGGCCGCCCCTAACTTTCTTCCAATCTACTCCTACACTACAGAACAAAGTTCGTCGAGGTAGTCGGTGGTTAGGCATACGCAACACATGTCCCAACCACCTCAACTGATGAAGTTTCACCACTTCATCTATTGATCTGCCATCCTTACCTAGTACTCGTTTCCTAACGACAGCATTGCTCACTCGGTTGTCCCACGGTATACGAGCAATGCTTCGAAGACACCTATGATCGAAAACCAATAACCGACGAATATCTTCTACTCTCACTGGCCATGTTTCACAGCCATATAGGAGAACGGAGAGAACTGCTGCACAGTACACTCGTCCTTTGATTAGAGAACGGATATCACGCCTACGCCATAAGTGACGCAGGTTGGCAAAAGCCAATCGAGCCTTCTGTATCCGAGCTGAGATTTCGTCAGTCACCAGGCCATCGGAACTGATGAGACTCCCAAGATAAGTGAAGCGGTCTACACGTTCGACTACCCAATCTTGAAGCAACATTTTGCATTTCGAGGGTGAAAACCGCATCCCGAACATGCTTGCATTGTTGCTTGGGGTAGTCAGAAGACTCTGCATTTTGTCAGCGTCTTCACTAAGTAGGACTATGTTATCGGCATATTCTAGGTCAGTAAGTGATTTTCCTGGCGGAAGGTCAACCCCTGAAAAATCTGACGAGCTTAATGTTAACTCTAAGAGGATGTCTACGACGAAGTTAAACAAGAATGGAGAAAGTGGACATCCCTGACGGACACCACTTGATGTAGAGAACTCCGATGATAGTTCGCCATAAGCCCTCACTCGACCAGTGATGTTCGAGTAAAGGGCTTGTATAAGGTTAATGTACTTCTTTGGTACACCTTTCAATGACAGACACTGCCACAGAACCTCACGATCCACAGAGTCTAATGCCGCTTTCAGGTCCAGGAAAATAACTATTGTCGGACGTCTAAATGTGTGTCTGTGTTCCAGGACCTGTCTGAGTGTGAAGACGTGGTCTATACAGCCACGTCCAGGTCTTAAACCAGACTGGTTTTCTCGAGTCTGCTCTTCTCGAGCTTTCGTTAAGCGTCGAAGTATTATGGAGGCCAATATTTTAGATACTATATTAGTTAGACTTATTCCCCTGTGATTGTCACAAGAAGACTTTTGTCATTTCTTATAGATTGGGACAATCAGTGATTGAGACCAGTCGGATGGGATTGCGTCCAGTTCCCAGATTCTACCTAAGATCCCAGTCAATCTAACTGCTAAAACTGGACCACCATCCTTAAATATCTCAGGGGTCAGTCTATCAGGACCTGCAGCTCGTCCTCGTTTCAGATTCCCTAACGCTTTTTCAGCGTCATAGAGAGTCGGGGGACTTACGTCGATTTGCCATTCAGGATGACTGGAGATCGTGGGTAACCGAAGAGTGGCTCGTGGCCAGTTGAACTGATCCCTAAAGTGTTCTGCCCATCAATCCAGTCTCCTGGATTGAGAATGGATAATAAGACCATCCTTTTCCGAGATAGTCTCACTTACATTCGGGTTCCTAATACCGGTTTCTTTAGTAAGGCGGAAAAGTTGTCTACTGTTGCCGATCGCCGCTGCCTTTTCCATCGCTTTTGCTTTCGCCACCCACCACTGTTCGCGGTCGTTACGCAGACTTTTTATAAGTCTGCGCCTAATCTGACTACGCTCTTCATCATGTTCAGAGTCAGGTGGGATGAGTTTTCGAGCATCCATCAGTTCGGTGGATGCGACTGAAATCCACTGCTTCATCCTAGCCTTGTGGTTTACCTTGCTAGCAGATACCATTGCTGTTTCCACAGCCTTCTTGATATGATTCCAACATGCTTCAGGATGGGAATTGCTTGCATGGTTGCTTAACTCTCTTTCTAGTTGCTCCTGAAATATTTTCTTAGCTTGATTATCATCAAGTAAAGCCCTAAGAGGCTTCCTTACGGTGTCTTTCCTACGTCCAGTAAGCCTCAAACAGATAGGAGCTCGCACTACAGCATGATCTGAATCCAAACATGTGCCCCAGAACGAGCGACAGTCTTCTATCGACCCCCTCCATCGGTGGCTGATGGCGATGTGATCTAGTTGCGTCCAACGTTGAGACGACTTTGGAGGTCGCCAGGTCAAAAGATGTTTTTCCTTATGCCTAAAGTTGATGTTCGCTAAGAATAGGCGGTTGTCTGAGCATAGTTGCAACAGACGGTCGCCATTGTCTGTTCTCTGAGCCGCGACACCATAACATCCACCTAGGTGTCTTTCATTTTCACTTAGTCTACCTACTTGAGCATTAAAGTCACCAGCCATTAATACTATATCAGAGCGCCTAGCTTTTTGGAGGAGGTCCGAAAGCTTTCTGTTAAACTCATCTTTAACCTCGTCTGCACTGCAGTCAGTGGGGGCATAGGCAGATATGACGAAGAGGCAACGGCGATTGTCCCTATCCTTCCTAGTCCTTACTGTCCCGTTTGGTCGGACAGCGCACAAACGACTATCTACTGGGATCCAGTCTAGGAGAGATAATTCTGCCCTAGGACTCAACGCTATGCCTACACCAGCAAGACCCCTGGAAGCAGCATCAGGGCTACCGGATACACGAAGAGTTAGTCGGGCTGCTTCTTCGTTTTGACAAGGTGGAATCAGGTTAATGACTTTACTAGGATCCTGTATGCGCGTTTCCGAGACGCAGCATACATCGATGGCACGAGATTCTAAAGTCCTAGCTAATGATGCCTGTTGCCCTATTTGACACAATGTCCGTACATTAAAAGTTCAAAGATGTAGTCTAGAACAATGTTTCAAGAGACTAGGAATGACGTTTCGTGAACTCCCATCGTTTGCATTAGCGGTGCAGTGAGAAAAGGGAATGCGCGTAGAGTTAGTTGTGGAGGGAAGAGAGGTGTGTGCGTGTAGGAAGGATTTGATTTTGACCAATTTGGTCTCGCGTGCTGTTACGGGTGGCAGTGTGACATAAGAAGAATGCACATATAGTAGAAATTAGATAGGTTTATGCCAATTTAGTCTGTCTTTGGCGCCGTTGTTATGCTTCTCTGGCTTCATAAGCTTGGAAACGCATTGGTAAATGCACTTGTGCTCTATGATTATGAAACTTTGTCTTCCCGAATTAAGTTTGTTTGATTATCGTTTACTCCCATTTTTGGGACCCAGTGGCAATACAATGTTAGTATTCCTGAGATTCGGCATGTGTAAAAACGGCGATGATAGATCATTTAGCGTCATCATCTTGTGATGTTGACCTCGCTAGTATGAAGATGTGCTACAAATATCATCCTAGAAGCTTCCAAAACATGCATTTTTAGCTGACGCTGGGACTTTGTGGCCTACTTAGAATGGAAACCATTGATAATCCTATTACAGTTTTCTCTTCGTAATAATGAAATGAATTTCCTTAACTGAGGAGAATCTCGATTGTCTTGTTAATTGAACTATGTCTTCTATCATAGTTTCTTGTTCACATTTTTGCTTTGTTTGTACTCCGTTTCCCTCCTTTTCTCCGCAATGTTATTTCTACTGCTCATATTTTTGGTTCTTAGTTGTACCAGATTTTATGTGTATTCAGCAAATTAAAAAGTTAATTATGTATACGAATCAATATTTATTAGCATTTGTTATTTTGTTGGATTATAAAAACAAGTGGTAAACAAATTTACTATTGCGAATTCTTCTGAGCGGTTTATTGTTTTGGAATAATTAGAAAATCATTCACTTTTTGCTTATGAAGGTGTTGACATGGAACTTATTTATCATCTGAAATTTAGCCATTTCTCACCTCTTACTGCAGATCAACTTTTTCATTTCGCGATTTTGCTCTACATTTTAGTCGAATAATAATGTTCAACATCCTTCCAACATATTGAGTGAAGAAAGCGGTTTCGTTAGACATAGTGGACCAGACCAGTCGGACGAACATATGTGGCTGTATGAAGATCCACAGGGTCGGACACAGGGTACTTTTAGTGATGCTCAAATGAATGAATGGCTTATGGCTGGGATTTACTTCACTCCAGATCTTCGTATACGACGTAAATGTGATGATACGTTTTCTACTCTTGGTAAGATATCTTGCTCTTCAGAAGCATCTGTTTGCTGTTAATCAATTAAGGTACTTTTGAACTTTAAATAATGAGTGTTTTAAACACCAATGCATTTACACGTAGTGTACAATCCATTAGTAAGTTAAGTGTATTTTCGTCAATTGACCTTCAGCATATGTTTGTTCTGGATTAGGTTTAGGATTATCTAATGAATAAATTTTCGATCTTAAAAATGGATAGAAATGGTTGACAGAAGATATGCAGCGATATGATGTAGCTTACGAATGGCTGCTCACATACCGGTTTATTGATATCAGGCATCAAACGATGTTTAGTCAAGGGCAAAAATAGGTTTTAGATGTGATAAACTGTCGTGGCCAGTTGATCAAAGTCAGTTTATAGGTCACTCAATAATCAATGGAGACCCGATTTTTGAACAGCTTACTAGAATTTTATTGCTTTAAAAGGCGTTAGAGGATTGTTGGATTATAAAAATCTTTTTTCTCAGATTTTTACAGGGGAATATATTTTGAGAATCAGTCTGCAACTTATTAGCTCTTGTAGTTTTAAAATCTACATATTTCAACCCGTCTGTTGTTACTGTTTATGTATTGTTTAAGGGCTAGGTGATAATGCTTACTGGAATTAAACTTTTTTGCTCCCAACCAGTTTTATCTTCTTGAGGTACTCTGTTAGACTGCTTCAGTTCATCTAATACTAATAACAAATCACAGCCATGATTGCATGCAAATTTTAAATAACAGTTAAACTGAATCGTAGAATGCAATCTTTCATCATATCGACGTTCCGAAAATGAAGGCGAATTCTTCAAATGTAACTTCGTTTTTCGGTTATGAAGTTCTCGTTCAGCCAAGCTGATAAATTACCTCACATAACTCTACTATATTTTATGACGATTCACTGTATGTATATAAAGAAATATATTTGTCAGTTTTTCATTTAAATTCATAAAACTACAGTTGAAAATTAGAGAACGACACGTTTTTTTGCTATATTTATTGTCTAGCCAATTACACACAGCTGTTTGAACGTGTTCCATTTGTTTCTGGTCCTCGAGTACCCCCTATTCGTGGAGAGATCAATCAAACTATGTTAGCCCTGTCTACATCCAGTTTCTTGAGTAAACCGAATTTCAGAAACTCCGATAACCCCCCAATAGATTTACTACCTTGTCGTAATCCAACTAATCATGATCACTTAGATGGTAGTAGAGTGAGTGCAAGTATCGTTGGAAATTCCGCAGTTGACACTAGTCGTTCATTGTTGTCAGAACCACAGCATCAATTGTATCAACGACTTTCAGACTTTCCCGTAAGTTTGATTTTTATCTTCGCACAGTCTCATTGTCCATAATGGTATACTTAAAATTCATTTACATTCTTGTAAAAGCAACTGTATTTGACACTATTCTTGGAGGCGTTGAATGTTTTTCTAGATATTCAGTTCTTTATTTTCCCAACGTTGTTTTAGTATGATATATTTTACTCGTTTGTGTTTCTGTTTTTCAAATAATCGATATTACATTTGTTTTTTTCCAGACATCAGCTGCTAGCGTTACAACATCTGTTACCAAAGTTTCTGCACCTACTTGCCAGATTACTGAAGAGAGTCTTAACTCCACGAAATCCAGAAGCTTGGCGTATGGCCTTAGCAACGAGTCAGTTCCAGTGAGTGTACAAATGTCCGTGTTAAGTAATTCAATCAATAATTTGAGAATTGGGGACACTGAATCAAGTTTTAAATCTGTATTAGACAATCCTAATAATATTCAGCATCAAAAACAGGCAGTTACTTCAACCTCCACATTCACGAACTTAGCTCCTCTAATTCCACTGAATCAGTCCTTCCCATCTTTTAACTTGCCATTCCCTTCCAGAATTCAGGGCACCAACGGAACTACTATGGATGATCTTACTTCAACAGCTAGTTCATTCCTATCTCCAGGATTTTGGTCAGTTTTAACTCAGTACTTAAACTTGCAACCCACAAATTCAAATCAAACTTCTACTCCTATGCAACAGCTCGCAGAAACAGCACAATTTGCTGCCCAGCTCGCAGCTTTGGTTGGATCTCATAGTCCAGATCAAACTCCTATGCAGCCCGCTCAGGCGTTAGCTTTAGCGCAATTTCTGATGACTCGAGTAAGCTTTGACTCTTAGGAAGTTGGTGTGTGTTTCATTCATTTTATTATTTTGCGCCTGTATAGTTTTATGTTCTCGAATTTCGAAGGAAGCTATCAATAACAATGTCGTCCTTATTTCGTTTTATGATGACAGAGGAGATCTATTTAAAGCTGTAATATTAATAGCTTATAGATTACATTTATCTATCCCTTAAGTTAAGTAGATACACATTTAAAGTGGTAGTTCTAGTCACTGCCTTTACACAAACGACATTCACAGTCATAGTACTCAATTTTTAAAGTGTATTGTCTCAGCAGATATTAATTTGGCACAGAAATTTATAAATGTTCTGTCAAGTATCTAGTAAGATATTTTTTCCTTTTAATATTACATTTATAAGTATTTATAATGTACCAGTCTTCACGCGTCTCACTATTTTGTCCGTCGATAAAAAAAGCTGAACTTCAATCAGGTTTTTTTAAATTCATAATATGCCCTGGTACGACCGAGCGTCGGGAGAGTCCTTTCTGCCTCTCGAAATGCTCTCATTTGGCTATGTATGTTCATTTCTGGGTAAGTCCTACTCACTGCCTTCTCGTTGCAGGCGTTGTGGTTTATGAAACTGAGACGACGGGAAGTGAATGTCTGGTTCTAAAACCGGGTTGGTAGGTACCAAAGATCCGCCTAGAATAATTGAAAAACCATGTTTCTAAACCGATAGCCCACACAGGCTTCGGAATGACGTTGTTTGTAACTGGCTACTATAGAACTGTATCTGTTAACGTTACTTCAGTACTTTACGGATTAGAACTCCGAGCCAAAGACTCCAGGTTGGTCCCCTAAGAAAACCGTTTGCGTCGTTTCGGGTCCTCGGGCTATATCTCATCCCACACATGGATTCATTAATTCGTGTGAAGCATATAAATTAGTGTTGCTTCAGGATTGGGTTGCATCGGCACCTGAGCCAGTGATAGAGAGTGAAGCAGCTGAGCGTGTTGACCGCTTTACTTCTCTCTAGAGTCTCATCAGTGCTGATAGCCTGCCTGCTGACTGACGAAATCTCAGCACTGGCACAGAAGGCTCTACTGACAATCTGCGTCACTTATGACGTAGGCGAGATATCCGTTTGCTGACCAAAAGACGAGTGTAATGCGCAGTAGTTCTCCTCGTCCTACTTTATGGTTGTGAAACATGGCCAGAAAGGGTTGAGGATATTCTTAGGTTACTTAGTATTCGATCATAGGTGTCTCCAAAGCAATGCTGTTATTAGGAAACGAGTACTAGGTAGCGATGGCAGGTCAATAGATGAAGTATTGAAACTTCATCAGTTGAGGTGGTTGGGACATATGTTACGAATGCCACAACGAGATGTTTTGTGGTGTAGGAGTAGGTTGGAAGAAAGGTAGGGGCTGCCAAACCAAAACGTGGTACAAATCCATAAAGTCAGTGATGACTGAACTGAGTCATGTCGATAGGTGTTGACTACTTAGTAGGGGTCTGCGAGACGATAGTAACCGGTGTTTGGAGACATGAATCATAATCGTCTGCAATGGCGCAAGTGTATCCACTCTTTTTCTTCTCTCAAATTCTAATCTCAATTCCTCATCATTTTTATCTTTCTCTTTTTAAATTTACTTCACTGAATCATACTTCTTGAATAATTTCTTCGAACCCTAATCTTCTTCATTACCGCTAGTACTTCTACTATCTCTTCCGCAATGGGATTCGAACTGACAATTTCGTTTTTGTGCTAATGTGGTATGGCAACCTGAACTAATGTACGTACGTACTAAGTTCTAAGTTGTAACTGACTGACTGTGGCGCATGTATATTTTGGTACCTCTTTAAACCAATTTTCTTTTGCTTTTTAAGGGACTTGGACTGGGTAGTGTTAATGCAGAAGCCGGCTCTAATGGTTTACTCACTAGTAAGAAAGACGAACCTTTTGATAACGTGTGCACTGCCGATTCATCTGCGCTCCATACTTCGGAAATCAATGCTGTTAACGATCGACGTCAAGAATCTCAAGCACAGTGGCCTACTCTTAGTTCCACACTAAATCAAAATGTATCTCATTGTAATGAAGGGTAAGCAGCTTACTTTATTATTACAAAATCTAATACATTGTCATTGAATTTGTCTGATTATTTAATTGTTTGTAAAACTTCAAATGCTTCTTATTTTAGATTGTAATAATTTTACCCCAAGTTTTTATCTGCTTGGAGAAGATTTACTGATTTTTATCCTGTAAAGAACATTTCTGAATTACTTCGTAACGCACTTCTAGGTACATCTAGGTAATTTGCCAGAAATATGTGCAAAATTACATCCTCAGTAAACACATCGTGTTTTCTCCCAACTAATAATTGCACGTAATGAAAGTATGACACTGTAACACCATTTATAAAGCACAAGTTTATCTATACGCTGCACTATTTAAAAGCTGGTGATACTCTCCTGCTGTCCAAACTTAAGTAACTGAAGCAGTTTTCAAACCTTCGACCTAGCTGAAAGCTGAGTGCTTTAGCAACTGAGCTCTCGCCTGGACTGATTCAATTTTATTTCCTGTATTAATTTATACAGATTACTTTTAATAAACCAGTTATATTATAAACGTACAATGAAAAGCATTGTTTCTTCCTTTCAGTATTTAAGCGTGATACCGAGATATGATGAGATATAATTCTTCTAGATTTTGAAAAAGTGACGGTCAGATTATTTGTAATCCCACCATTACTTATTTATATCTTGTGGATTTCTGTATTGTTTGTTCTTATCCTTTCTACAGACGACTTAATTCAGGGTCGTTTAACAAGGTATCTAGTGAGTTATCACATGGGAAAAACTGTTCAAACACCTTATCAGAAAATTCGTTTGCTGTCGAACAAAATCTTCATAACTACCGTCCAAATAATTTAAACAAGTCCCAGTCTACACTTTCTAAGCCGTCAGCTAGTCCTCGGTCGACCAATGTCAAGTCTAAAATACTGCTAGATTCACATTTATCTGAACCTGTCCAGTCAGTTTCTTTAGATGGATATAATCGTATTCAGCAAAATGGACGAGGCTCAAAAAATACTGAAGTTTACTCTGGAACGCCTGTACGCGGTACAGAGCAGAAACAGACGGTAATTAATTTGTCCCGAACAGGTTCGACAAATCAGAACAGACTTAAGGTTAGTAAAAACGCAATAATTCAATAATAATTATCGGTGTAGTATGTTTTTTTCACTATCTCCTCTGTTTATATTATGGCATTCATTATTTAAATCACAAACTGATATTAGTCAAACCACTGTTAAAAACCTGGAAATGCTAAACGGTCGTTTCGTTCTAGTACTTGTATACTCAGCAATGTGCATCTGGTCATAAAATTTTTTTTGAATTTATCATTGCGATAACTACGTAGACAATAATTGTATTTAATTATCATTTAAAAAGCTATCTGTCACAGACGAGTAATATTATTTGATGCCATTATTTTACGTAATTTTTAAGTTTTTAGTTGCTGAACTGTAATGTATGTTGTACCATCAAAGTTTGGTTTGAGCTTGGTATGAGCTCTATGGAAATAGTTAAAATCTCGAGTATATCAACTTTTTGATTTAACATACTCGTTGGTCTAAATACCCATACACATTCAAGACCTATTGATTTCTGAAGTAGTATAATCTCCACTTTCGTTATTTATTTAGTTGTTCTGATGTCTCAATTTTTTGGATTTTAAACTATTGCAGTTCAGCAGTACGTTTACTGTCTTAATGTTTGTTATTTTCTCAATTTTTCTGAAAAACTTAACCATTCTTTATAATGCATGCATTATTTTTAAAGCAAACTACATTAACCGGTACTTGGTTATACTATAATGTATTTTTTCTGTTTAAAAACCCTATCGACTAAGACCCTACATTGCGTTTTGGAACAAGTGAACAATCAATGTACATTCTTATCTCTCCCCACTGATGTACACCTCTCATTCGTTTGAAAAATCCGTCTTTACCGTTAGCCTTTTTTAGGGATTCTAGATCACCAGAAATCGCTTGGTAAATCTCTTAATTTTACAATTCCTTTATGGAACTTTGAATCTTTTATTTTTGCGCCAAGGCGCTTCTTATTACCTTCGGTTTGTGTTTCCCTTCTGGAAGGACCTTAAACCTTATCGGTAAGTTTTCTCTTTTAGTGTGCTATTTTATAACTCTTCCAAGAACGCCTTTTGTATTCTATATATTATGCTTGAATTGAATGCTTGTTAACTCGTTCACTCAGGGCTACTCGTGAACTATACAGTCTTCCTTCGGACTTCTTACTCTAGTTATCTGGGCTGAGTCGCAGAGATTAGCTTAGCTTTCCAGTTATTGTGTATATGATTATTGTTCCGTCCACGGATATTATCTTATCTTTATTATCGCTAACAGTTTTGGAATAAATCTATCATTACATTTTGTTGGTCCTTCAAGCATTAAACGCTTCCACTCAGCAATTTCTAAAAATTATTTTTACATGCAAAACTTAAAACAAAACATAAGCATTCACTCTTAATCTTTTCCATATTTTTGTGTCTTTTCATGCCTTTAGGGGGCCAAATCAACTAATGTCCGGTCACCTACAAAGACAGCTGTCCAAAGCAATTCTTTGTCATCCCAGACATCCAGCGCAAACATTTGTCCTGAAGCAACGTGCACTTCGATTGCATCCAATTCGGAGACAGATTCTGATCAGACAGTTGAGGAGGAACTCAAGAAGCTTACTCAATGGTGCCAGTCGAGGCTTGGTTCGATGACAATGCGTGAAAAGGTGGATATCCCTACTGTTGTTGAGTTACTGGCTACACTAGATGCTCCTTACGAAGTAAGGCATATTTTGATAGTCTTAATTTACTCTGTCATACTTATTTCGATTTCTGTGTTGCGTAAACAACTACAACTAATCTGTTTGTTTCCATGTTTTACTTTTGTATCAAACATATTCTAAGAACAAAAGTTTCCACGTACTTCTATGTATATTGACATGTGTGCTTTATTTCTATTTAAACTACCTACTTCTTCAGTAAATTCTCAAATAGTTGGCTGGAAGTATGTGTATAACGCTCTCGGTTTCTTTGTTAGGTTTCTTAAAATGGAATTAACACTTGATTTCCAAATATCAATTGAATTTGAACTGCGAACTTTACATTTACAAAAATCTGTTTACAAGGCCTCGGTATATGCCATGAAACACAGCTCTGCTAGCTGTAGCTACGTATTCTGCGTATCACAATACATTTACCGACTTTATACAGTCGATTTAAACTAATTAGAGTATCATGTTTGTACTTAATAGTTTCCGTATTTCATTTATGTGAAAACATCATTCTGTATGGTTTATTTTGAATTGATTTTTCATAATATTAGGTTTTAATCGTAATTCAATAGGAAGTGAAATTTTTTAGCTTTTATACATCGCTATACTTTCTTTTCTGGTCGATCAATATTTAATTAAATTTCAGCAAATAATTTTAACTTATTTTGATTATTATCATCGGTATTACTGCTTATATTATAATTGTCATAATTACCGGGCCGTTTACTATTGTCATGTGAATCATTTGTTTATACATTTTTAGGTACTCAGTAGGTAATCAGTCCTATAATTTTGTTATAACTTTATGTCAAGTATGCATTAAACTAAAATCTCGAAATATCGTAATTTTTCAGTTTATTTCTTTTTCTGAATCATATTTTTGCGTTATTATTTATTGACAGTCGAAACATTCATTGCAATAACCTGATGCTGTAATCTACCATATATGATATATGTTTGAGAGAATCCAACAGATTGACATTGTATAATTATCACAACGGTCCATTGATTGAGTCTCCCTTTAGAAAAACGTATTTTTAACGTGGAGTTTGGGGTTATGTTTTTACACATCAGATTTACTTCTCATACTAGTTTATCAAATTTTGATTGTTGTTTTAAAAAGTATCTTGAAAAATCGATTATTTTTTAATTATTTTGATCAACAAGCACTTTAATGTTTAGGATATTGCTACTTACATTGTTATCAGCTAAACGTTTCTCTTCCTATGCTCAAAATATGTTTAGTTATAAATTAAAACACTATGCATAGATATTGAAATGATACTGTTCATTAGATTGCCATATACATTTATATATTTCACATTCTTTGATCATTATGAAATTATCAACCACATGGTCCAACTATACATTACTTAGATTCAAAATTACCATCAATAGTTTATTGACCGACATGTATTTATTTGGAAAAATGATATAAATTATTCTATGACTGGAGTTACTCAGTACATATTTTATTTTTATGGGAGTGTATGTTTTAGACGGCATTGTTTTGTTCATACCATTGAATCTTATTGTTTATATTTCACATCTAATTAGGTTGAACGTATGGTTCAGACGTTTCTTGGCGAAACTGCTCGTACAGCCCAATTTGTGAAGGATTTCCTCGATCGTCGTCGGCCTTTTTGGCAGTTACATAGAAAACGCCGGGAACAAGAGAGTACAATCCAAACATCAACATGTCAAAATTCCTCTAATCAGCCTACAAGCGCAGTTCGATCAACAGAGAAAAAGAAACGTGCCAACGCGAATGATACCACTACTAATAATGCACAGCGACAGAATTCAGGTGTTTGCAATGGATCGAGTTGGAATAAATCAGATTCTACTCACTTATCTAATGTTGAACAAGTTCAGGACAACCAGGTTGGAATTCTACGTATCTAAGTTTTCGCAGTTCTTCAACTGATCTGTATTTTTTTTCCTCGTTTGAATTTTGATGTCTTGTCGCACGATTAGCTTTATTTTTGTCGGCTAAAATGGTCAGAATCAAAATCCCTAACTTTTGTTAAAATAAGGTGCTCTACTTGTGGAAATAGCATTCAGTTAATACTTATTACCGCGGCAGATATAATATTGGTCATTTCTTGTTGTCATACGGGCTAAATTAGGATAATCTAATTGATATTAAGAGACTTCCTCATATTTCTTACCATTGGTCTTCTGGATATCAAGTAGTTTGAGAAACTACATTCATGAATGCGAATGCAGTCATGTTACATTCTGATCAATACCATTATTGGTTTACTATAATGTAACCTGTAAACCTACATTCACTTTAAATTGTGCCCTAGTTTTCTTACTATGTAATGCGTCAGTAGGGGAACAATGGCTCACTGTATTCGTAAGTTTGGAATAAAAATATTCACAGATCTTTGAAGGCGAATTAACCAATCGCCTGCATTATCAAGTCTTCCATTTCCAATTACTGTCCATATTATCGATTTTACAGAGTGAGTCCTATTTTCTTATAAAAACATTATACTTTCCCTCTGTTATTGTCTGTTTATGCCCCGTTGAATGTAATGGCCTCGATGGCAAACAGGAAATTTGAACTATCATTCTTGTAATGTGGAGTGCTTCAAATCGACTTTACGTAGTCATTGGACGAATTGCCTCCTAACTACTTGTATTTATAAGCATCTTCATTACACTTCGGAAGAATGGAGTATATTTCCCAACTCTTTTTCTAGACAATTTCATATATTGATAAGCCTATTGATATCATTCAAATTTACACTAGAACTACTGATAAAAGGGAACATACAGGTGCAGTACCTATGCTAAAGGATACCTGTACATAATGGATGGTGCTTGTGCCATACTAAAGAATTGATTTCGTTAGGCTTAAGTTCGGAACCGAAGTATCACTTTTTGAACATGTTTATTTGTGTAGAACGTTTACGAGCATATGTTGTTAATCTATTGTCCGTTTGTTACTCATCATACTTCTCTGTCTTTCTTCAGTGGCATCACATCAAACCTAAAGGAAGTCATAATCGTAAAAGCAAAAAAGATAAATCTACGTGAAAATGTATACCCTATATTACACTATTCTTTCAACACAACTAACATCCCCATGTTCTTTCGTTTCTATCGCTTATCTCAATCACATTACTTTTTTTAATTATGTGCTGTTATAAGGAGTGTAAATTGTATACTTTTTCCATTGTCGAAACGTATTCACTCTCTAATGTTATACTTTCTAGTTACATATGTCTTAATTTTAATTTGCTTCTGATAATCGTGACATAATGGCGTTTGATGTGCCATCGAAGTATCTGAGTTTTAGGTGGCCGTAACTTCTCGATTCTGGTGTTTGTGTGAAGTTCCCTTGGATAACATTTTATTTGACAGATGAATATGTATATATACATATATATATGTATCTCAATAATGGTTGCAATGCATACTTATTTTCAAATTTCCGTTTTACTTCGAATCTGAATATTATACTATATTTATAATACGGTTTTATAATTTATTAGCTAAGCTTATTTGTGTGTTGACCTGTCTACTCATAAACTTTTTCCAGTTTAAAATACCATTGACGTGACTATCGTTTATGTACCATCGTCATTTTGGATGCTTCTTGAGATTAAAAATCCCCTGTTAAATGAAATTATCGTACGACGAAGTAGTCATTAATTTGTGCGCAAAAGAGGAAGTTGTAATACTAACGTGCATGAGTTTTAATCATACTCGATGATTTTATTACCTGTTGCATGATATATACTCCTAACAACTTGCTAGATAATACTTTTGAAATTAATCCTGAGAAAAATTCCTAAAAGTTATTATTTTCTTGCACAATAGACCATTTTTCATAGGTCAGAATGATAGTTATCTTTTCTTTATTACTATCTGAATTGTTTACCTTGCAACGTAAGTTAGGTTTTAGTTTAATTTTAAATGAATCTTAAGGATTTGTGTATTTGATAGAGGTTAGCTTTTCAATGTATCAATTCTGAGTTATCCGATGCGTCAATCAAGCATTCTTATTAAAATTGTTCATTGCATTTAAACCATCAACTACTTACTATATATTTTGTAAAACCATATTGCTAAGTTTATCCTGCGTTTTTTCGCGCTTATTTTACAAGTTTGAGCATGCGAAATTGAATGCCAACTTTGGTCATTCAACATAAGACGAGTACACTTCCATTTCAAGGTAACTGACTTGATTATTACATCTGTAAACGCGATCATTGTAACACCCGATTTTATCAGATGATTATTTGTTCGAAACCTGAGTCCAGGGATGCCTTTCATTGTCTTTTCTTAGCGAGTTTTAGTTGTAGCTACGATCTTACAATTCCTAGATATGAGTGAAACTAACAATATGGGAATCTCGTGGATTCGTCGTCTAAACTTGGAAGGATTGTAATTTCGTGGTATGATTTATTAGAGAGTCATGTCCCACATATCCAACCAGGTATTTTGCATGTTAAGAATTATTATTCATAGTAGTCTTCACCTGCTTCTCCTTTGATAACCATAAGAATATTTTCATGGCTAACCACGCTTTGTTGTTAATATATCAATTTTTAGCCACGTAATGATTTATTAAGAGCCAATAACATGTGCTTCGAATATTTATGACAGATTAGCCATTTACATTCAAATAGGTTATTATTCTATAGATAATGTTAAAACACTGCCAGCCAATATTAATCCTTTTCAAGATTAAGAAGATATACTAGCCGGGAAAATAATTAAACGAATGTTGTATATGTTAGTCATCTGAATAATCAGCATGAATCCAGTCTTCAGAACTGCTAGCACAATAAATTCTGAATGACTTCTTATCATTTGTTACAAACATCCCGTGTTTGATAGTGTATGTTTCGGCGCACACTGTTTTTTAACAAGCTCCTTACTATAGTGTACGGTAAGTTGACATTTCCAATTCACTAATTTGAAGCATACCATTCTGGTAGTACATAAGTAAACTATCACAAGTAATAGCATTTGAATGTGAGTGATAACACCATCTGTTGTTCTTTATCAGATCCTCCTTCAGAAGTTAGTTGAGCACGACGCGCATCGCTATTTGAGTCGTAGGAGGTTGAGAATACTTGTGAAAATCATCCGGGCATCTTTATCACCTTACTTAACTCTCACCTTCAACTGGACTTTAATCGTATTTCACAGTTACTAGCAACATGGGATTCTACGTATCCGAGCGCAGACTTTGTTGTTCAAAGAGGAGTTTTTATAAGGTTATTGTACTTCTTTGGTACACCTTACGATGACAGACACTGCCACAGAACCTCACGATCCACAGAGTCAAATTCCGCATTATGGTCCAGGAAGATAACCATTGTTGGACGCCTAAATTTGTATCTGTGTTCCGAAACCTGTCGTAGTGTAAAAATACGATGTATACAACCACGTCCAGGTCGAAAATCAGCCTGGTTTTCTCTAGTCTGCTCTTCACGAGCTTTAGTTAGGCGTCTAAGGATTATCGAGGCTAACAATCTAGAAACTATATAAGTTGGATTGACTCCCCTGTGATTGTCACCAGAAGACTGTTGGCATTTTTCTTAAATGGGGATAATCAGGGATTAAGATTAGTCGGGTGGGATTACGTCCAGTTCCCAGATCCTACCTAAGATCTCAGTAAATCCAACTGTCAAAACTGGACCTCCATACATAGTAATCTCAGGATCTGCAGCTCGCCCTCGCTTTAGATTTTCTATAGCCTCAACTTCATAAAGACTAGGGGGACTTAGGTCGATTTGCCATTCAGGATGACTGGAGATCACCACTTACTAAAAGGTCGCCTCATTGTTTTTCTAATTGTTCTTGAAATATATTCTTAGGTACGATATCATTAAGTAGAACAATAAGAGGTTTACTTTATGTCCTTTACTTACATTAAGTAAGACACAGAAAGAAAACGCGCTCGTAATCGAGTATGAACGGAATCCAAATCTGTGTGCCAGGTCAACTTGAGAACCTTTTAATAGGTGGCTGATACCGATGTCATCTAGTCGTGAGAAAAATATGAAGCATTTCGATTGCAATGACAAAAGATGTGTATCCTTTTGCTCGATGTTTGTATTCGCTAGAAATAAGCCGTTATCTGAGTATAGCTGCAGCAGACGGTCGCCATTATCTGTTCTTTGTGCCGTGTCACCATAAGACCCATCAGGTTTCCTTCCTTTTCACTTAGTCTACCTACTTGAACATTGAAGTCACCAGCCATTATTACTACATCATTGCACCCAACTTTTTGGAGGAGGTCCGAAAGCTTCCTGTAAAACTCATCTTTCACATCGTCTGAACTGCAATCAGTTGGGGCATAGGCTGATACGACGAAGAGGCATTGACGGGTGTCCCTATCTTTCCGAGTCCTTACTGTCCCGTTTAGTCGGACAACGTACAAGCGACCATCAACTGAGATCCAGTCTAGAAGAGGTAGATCTGCCCTACGACTCAATGCTATACCTACACTAGAGAGACCCCAGGAAGCAACACCTTACTACCGTCACACCACTCTGAAGTCAGCTGGACGACTTTACCCTCGTACCTTGAGTAGCTGTTTTTAGTCTCGTCGTTACCCAATCGACATTTCTGGCACGAAAGAACCTACAGGGACATGTGTTCCAGCCAATATAGCTCGACTGCGTCATCACTTTAGGCAAGCCCGACCACCACGTCAAGGTAGCATCTACGGGCAATATCACTATTTAATACTAATTAATAGCCTATCACAGTTAATAAAAGGTAAGTCCAAGGTAAAGAACATATTAAGAAGGGGAAAGTTTGTGACATAGGGAGCAGAAAGTTACGAATAATGACAGCAACTCGAAGATAGGGCCGCGCGTAAGTGATTCCAGTACAGTTAAACAAACCAGTACAATAATAAATGTTTCTTTATCACTAATTGCATTTTCTTCGTAGAAGTGTTCCATTACACTCTAATGAATTCAACGATTGTTGTAAAGACTCCAGTGCTTCTTAACGGCGAAAGGCGGCGGGTGGACTTTACGAAAGGAAGTGGAAACAACCTAACTTCCAAAACGCAGAAAACGATTGGTGAATATTTGATACGGAATTCACCATTTTTACTTAATATCTCAGCGTCGAAGGATAGCGTGTTGGAAAGTTGGGCTGGTCGATGATGTTATGGACAAAGCCCACTCTTATGATATGCCATAATGTCATTGGCTGTTACGTGGCGTAGGCCTCTACACTAACATGGAAAAATCGTCTCCTTACACCCTTTTAGGTGTCTGCTCTACTTGTGTACTGAGCCCAGAAAGATAAGTAATTCGAGACGAAGCTTAAACTTCCGCGTCCAAGGCTCGATCAAACATTGGTGGCTGGAGACTTCAGCACTTTGCCTTTGACTCCCGGCAGATTGTGCTGGGAGTAGAAGTGACAAAATGGGCTTGCTAAAACGCTCAGCAGTTCAAAACTGAATTCAGGTATCTGTAATGCCAATAAATAGGATAAGTACAGATAGCTGACAAACATGGGTTACTTACTGTGAAACATGGCCAGTGAGAGTAGAAGATATTCGTAGGTTACTGGTTTTCGATCATAGGTGTCTTCGAAGCATTGCTCGTATATCGTGGGACACCCGAGTGAGCAACGCTGTTATTAGGAATCGGGTGCTAGGTAAGATTGGCAGATCAATCGATGAAGTATTGAAACTTCACCAGTTGAGGTGGTTGGGACATGTGTTGCGTATGCCTAACCACCGACTGCCTCGAAGAGCTTTGTTTTGTAGTGTAGGAGTAGTTTGGAAGAAAGTTAGGGGCGGCCAAAACATGGCACAAATCCATGAAGTCATTGACTAGTGGACTGAGCCATGTCGGTAATTGTCGACTACCTGGTTGGGGTCCGCGAGATGATAATAATCGATGGTTAGAGACCTTGAATGACATGGCTCAAAATCGTTCGCAATGGCGCCAGTGCATTTATTCTCTGTGTTTTCTCAAATCCTAATCTTCTGGATTCTTCAACACCTCTAGTTTCGACTCTCTAAACTTTTCTCACTGAATCATACTTCTTGAGTA